ATCAGTGGAAAAATGCAAACTAAAATCACAATGAGACACCAATACATACCCACTAAAATGGTCAAAATTAGGACTGACAGCAGAAAAGAATATGGAGCAACTAGAACTCTCATACGTTACTGTGTAAAGTGGTACAACCACTTTGGAATATTATTCAACCATTTCTTGTAAAGTTAAATATATATACCATATGATCCAGAAATCCAGTCCTAGATACACATCCAAGAGAAATAAAAACATCTGTCCACTAAAAGGGATGTACATGAATGTTCATAGCAGCTTTATTTGGAAGAGCCCCAAACTGGAAACAATCCAAATGTCCATTAACTGGTGAATGAATAAACAAACTGTGGTACATCCAAACAATAGAATACTACTCAGCAAGAAAAAAAGGAAAATGCTACTGATACATGCCTTCATGTGAATAATTTCAAAAACATTATACTGTACAAAAGAATTGAGACTCAAAAGGCTATATACCCTATGATTCCATTTGTATGAAATTCTACAATGGGCAAAACTATCTCAAGTGACAGAAAGCAGGGAAGTGGTGACCTGGGGCTGGTGGGGGAGTGTTGACTGCAAACGAACATGAGGGGTCCTTTGAGATAGTGCAGTTCCATATAGTAATTGAGGTGGTGCTTACATAGAGGCATACATTCATTAAAACCCAAATTGTGCACTTAGAATGCATGCATTTCATTGTGTGTGATGTTGGTTTTGAAAAAAAATTAAGGTTGTATCTTGCTTCTTCACAATGATAACACCTCTACAACCCAAGAAGATAATGAGAATCCCAGCAGCCACCAAGAGTGAGCCCATACCGAGCACTTGGTATGTGCCAGGCACCCTGTCAGGCCCTTTCATTCATTGTCTCAAGCCTCACACCAGCCTTTAGGATGGGTATTATCATCACCCAAAGCTCAGAAAGATGAAGACATGTGCCTGAGGTCACACAGCTGGCAAGAGGCAAAGATCAGTGATCAGTGTTAGTTGCTCAGTCGTGTCCGACTCTTTCCCACCCCATGGACTATAGCCCCCCAGGCTCCTCTGTCCATGGGATTCTCCAGGCAAGGATACTGGAGTGGGTTGCCATTTCCTTCTCCAAGGGGTCTTCCTGAGCCAGGAATCAAACCCAGGTCTCCTGCATTGTACGCGGATTCTTTACCATCTGAGCTACTACTTAAGATTGTGCTTTCCTAAACCTATCTATACCATCCTTAGACAGAAAAGAAACACAAACAGTGCAGAGGCCACACATGTACAAAGCACCACCAGAGTCAACTACAATTTTAACAATTGCATCCACATTAACTATTTTTGGACACAAAATTCTTGACTTAAAGACTGAACTGGATGACAAGGCTTATCATATTCTCAGCTCATTACATAAGACAGTGAGTATTCATTTACAAAACACCGCAGAAGTTAATATTTTCAGAATTCCCAAGCCAGCTGAGCCAAAACATGAACTCTTGAGCAATCTTAGACTTCCAAGCCAGAGCCGTCTGGTTAGGGAACCTTAGTGGAGGACCTAAGGATGCTAAAGACCTTGGAGGCAAGTGACTTGACCATGGACATCCCAGAGAGTGGTCTGGAGTTAGGACAAACCTTTCTACCTCCCATCCCACTGTCATCATGCCATCTATGGGAGCCCACCTGATACCTGAGCAGAGTTCATAGCATCCTATCTCACTATTCAGGACAGAAGAGAATGTTGGAGCCCCACCCAACCCACAACAGCCAAGAATGTCTAACAGAGTTAACCAAGTAGGAGATGGGGCAACCCTCTACCCACTTCATCCTCTGCAGCTCCCTTGCAGCTGTGGCTTTCCTGGATGACCACATGGTATTAGCTCTGGTAGCTAATGCTCTCTGTCAAATGAAGAGCCCAGACTGGCAGCAGGACCTGATGTCTATGTTGCCTCTCCCACTAGCTCTCTGTGTGACACAGAGTGAGTCATTGAAACTTTCTCACCCTGTTTCCTTTTGAAAACTATTTACATCCATCCTGTATACCTCAAGAATGGGTCTGAGGATCAGATGACGGAGGGGCTGAATAAGAAAATTATTTGTAAACTGTAACACTAATGATACTAATACTATCAGCAACACCAGGATTAGGTGCTAGACTCATGCAAAAGCACCAGAAGCAGTTGCTGGCTCACTGACTTGGGGATGATGGTCCCTTCATCTGAAATATAGGAATAATACATGACCTGCTTGAAGCAGGGAGTTAGACCAGAGAAACTTTGGGGGTCACTCCCAACTCTTAAGTCTGATTCTATGATTTAAAAAACCCCAAGAAGATTGGCCTTACCTGTTCTCCTGATGTTTGAATTTTATTTTATCAGGATGACAAAACACTTGATCTTATAGTCAGAAATAAGATTTCAAATGCAAATAATCTGGAGAAGGGAGAAGCACATTACCTCTTATTCTTACTACAGTGTGAATGACTGATACATGTTCCTTCCAGGGAGCAAATTCAAATAGTAGGATGGAAAACCTGGCCTGACTGAGTCACAACAGGGCTTCCTCAGGGAGAATTTAGGCTCATTCCTGTCTGTTCTCTGAGACCAAACATGTAATAGCACGAAGCCCCAGGTTTATCTTAATCACTGAGAGTGTATCTTCCTCCCCAAACTGGGGTGATGGTGGCTTGAGTGCATTTTGCCAGCTATGTCCAGTGGAGCTCACAACATGGAAGAGGGACTCACACTCATATAATCCATCTCAGCCCCAATTCATGCTCGATCTATGATTTCCCTTTTCATTTCCAAGACTGCCCCATTGCTTACAGCCCTTAAATTCTAACCTTGGGCACTGCCACAAACTCCTTTCCCTTCCTACCACACCAGCCTGGATGGTCTCAGCTTCCTGGAGCCCCTCTCCTCCCATCTCACCTGGCCCTTGCCCCATCCTCAACCCTTGAGCCCAAGCAAACAAAAGGATTGTGAAAATGAGCTGATATCCAAGAGGCTGCAGGCACCATTTTCCCACCACCCCACTCCATTCCAGCTCAGAAATCCCTGTCAGGGCTGAAATATCAAGACAGTCTACCTCATCGCCTTAATAATTAGTAGCATTAGTTGTGCATTTACTACATGCTATACCCTGTTCAGGCTTCCCCGGTGGCAAAAGAATCTGCCTGCAATGCAGGAGACCCTGGGTCAGGGTCTAAACGACAACAACAAAGACCTTGTTCTAAGTGCTTTACATGTACTAACTCACATGATTTGCTGTTGTTTAGTCACTAAGTTGTGTCCGACTGCTTTGCGACTTTATGGACTATGACCCACCAGGCTCCTCTTTCCATGGAATTTCCCAAGCAAGAATACTGGAATGGGTTGCCACTATCTTCTCCAGGGGATCAGATGGATTCTTTACTACTGAGCCCCCAGGGAAGCCCGACTCACATGGTACTCATATGAAATAAGCACTATTATCCTCAATTTACAGATAAGAAACTGAGGTACAGAGAGGTTAAGTGACTTGGCCAAACTCTCACAGTTAGCAAGTAGATGGATCGGGGATTGAACCCAGAGACTGTGCCGGGCCATTTTATCCTGTCTGCTGAGGCAGCAACAGTGCATTTCCAAGCCTGGAATCACTGGGAAGCAACATGAATGCACAGTGCTCTTGACAGAAAGCAGACAGAAGGGCTCAGTCGCACCAAGTTCAGCCCCTTCTTTGTACAAAAGGGGACACTGAGGCCAGAGACTAAGTGGTCCTCCCAGCAAGCTGAGCCCAGAGCCCTAGGGTCTGGGCTGACATTACTCCCACCCCACCCCCTATATGTTTCAAGAGAGGCCATTGCCCACAGCCAAGGCATGTTTTAACCAGGGGTCATGACCTGGAAATTAGCCCACAGCCCTATTCCTGTGCGGGACCTCTCAGACCTTCTCTGACCCTTATTTGCCCCTCCCTGCCAGGTCCGTAAGAGCAGTCTCTGCCAGGTCACTTGCTCGGTGGTTTAAGTTTTTTGGGGTTTTGTTGGCTTGCTTGCTTTTGCCTTTGCTTGGGGTCAGGCTGTAAGCCTCACCTTGATTTGGGTGACGATCACAAAAAGTGCCCTGATTTAAAGAAACAGACTATATATTTAGAGCAGGCTTTGGGTGGAGGTCAGGAAAGTCCCTTCACACCCACGACCCCAACTCATACCAAGTCCCTGCAATTCAGGTTCAGAGAAGGAGAGTCAGCTACCCTGTAACTTGCTCTCCAAACACTGCCCGGTCCCACCCATTCTCTCCCCAGATGTCACCCTCAACTCAGAGCTTCCTTTTCCAATCATGTACACCACCTCCCCCTTACTCTCTTCGTCATTCTCCTGAGAATTCACCTGAGGCCAGGTCTGAGATTTGGTTGGGTTTCCCCCACAGACGGTTCCCTCCTACTCTCCCCACGGTCCGAAGGTTTCTCCATCCCTTTTGGATCAGCGCGATCCCCTCCCCCGACCTCGGGAACAACCCACCCCGCCCATCCAGCCAGCCCTCCGGGTCTCAGCTCCGCAGGCTAAGGCAGAAGGTATGAAGGGAGCCCTAGGCAAGGATTGGTGGCTGGACAGAGCCCAGGATGGGGACGGATAGGGCACAAGTGAGGATCGGAGAGGACGTCCGAGCGTGGGAGGGACTCCTTGGACCGGCAGGGACAGGGCGCGCCGGGGCGCACGGGCACAAGGTCCGAGACGCCTGCAGAATCCTGGAGCTTGAGCCAGGATCCGAGACCCGGCTTAGTGGGCGGGATGAGGTCTAGGACAGGACTGGGTGAGAAAAGCGGAGGTGAAGGGGACCAGAGTTCGGACTCTGGAAGGTGCGATCCGGGCCCAGTCCGGGAAGCCTGAGGAGTTCTGGGCACTAACTCCCACCCCGAGATGGGGTTGGGTACTAAGGTCTGAGTTCGAGATCCCGCCGGGGCCGGGGCCAGCGGAAGGGAAAAGTTGGCATTGCTGCAGCGGGAGGAGGGGGAGGCAGGCGGGCCGGGGCGCGGCGGGCACTGACCCGAAGTAGGCGGCGGCGGCGGCGGCGGGCAGCGCCAGCAGGCAGAGCGCGGCCAGGGCCAGCGCGGGCGGGGGGCGCATGATGCNGTGAGAGCTCACCTGATGTAGAGCGGGTCGGGGGACTGGGCGGCTGAAGGACCCGGGGATTGGAGAGGCAAGGATACGGGTACGAAGCGGGGACCAGGGAGCTTTTGCCTCTCCGGGCGGGGTGGAAGTACCCGCAGGATACCCTCCCCCAAGGAACAAGGGATCGGGGCATAAAAGGAGAGAGGCGCCTAGAGTCTGAGAAGTCGCGTCTCATCCACTCTCCAGCCGGGTCGCTGCGGGTCCCTCTGCCCCAGCTCCGCGACACTGAAGGAGGGCCGGCTGTGGACACAGGAAAAATGCTAAGGGTGTCCTGGGACGGGGGTTCCCATGGTCAGAGCGGAAGCAGTATAAGGGAACCCAGTTTCTAAACTAGAGACGGTCAGGGAGGAGGCCTCACTGAGCATTAGCTGATGTTCATGAAACAAAAATCCAGGTTCTCTGGTCGGTGGGGTAGGCAGAGCCTGGGACCGCGTAGGGAAGGAACTTACTTTCCAAAGTGCATAGACCCCAGAACTTCTGTCAGACAGGATGGATATGTTCAGTGTTGGGCCATAAAGCTCTGCATTGCTTTTTTTTTTTTTTTTTAAGTCTAACCCCAATTCCTGCAGCGAAAGTCCAGTGACCAAGGCAGTAGGTGGCTCCCATCTGGGAGGGAGACACACAACAAATCACCCCGTCAAGGTTTAATATGTTTTTGAGAGTGTTGAATACTGGGTCAAATTGAGCAAAACAAAACATAATTCACACTGAATGTCAAGATCTGAATGTAAAGTTTCCAAAAAATCAACCCTGTATGCAGAACACCAGGTGACAGCGACCTTGGCTTTGTGGACACACAAAGGCGCTGGGAAACTGGGGGAAGATGGGAGCTGCCATATTAACATATTAACAACTGCCATATTAGCAGCTACAGTGAGGCTCTCTGAGCTGTTTCCCTGTGCAACAAGGGCAGCGGTTAAGCAACGATCTTTAACAATCACATCTCATGGTTCTGTGTATTGAGGCATACAGTCCAGTGAGGTGGGCAGAGACCTGAATTCAAATCATGGAAATTATAAACCTCAGATATGAAATGGGGACGATAATAAATGGCTCACAGGATTTTTGTGCAAATAAGAGTGATGCCATAGGAATTCCCTGAAGGCCCAGTGGTTAGGATTTCCCACTTTGACTGCCAAGAGCGCAGCTTCAATCTCTGGTGGGGGAACTAAGATCCTGCAAGCAGCGTGGCATGGCCAAAAAAGCAAAACCAAAAAAGTGATGCCAAATGCCTAACAGGTGCTGGCACTCAATATCAGGGGTTGTTAAAACTGCAGACAAAAAAAAAAAACAAACTGCAGACAAGTGTGTGCTGCTTTGCCGGGTGGGTGGGAGTATGTCTAATAGCACTTGCCGATTCCCTGCTGGAAATATTGCCACTGTGGATGATTTCAAGTTATGATGTGGCATCATCCTTGATCTAAGGAGTTAGGAAGAGATTTGCTTGGGTGACTCTGCAAACCAGTTGGAACTGGCTCCAGCATACCACTGGTAAGACCTTGAGCCAGGCTCAACAAAGCTGAAGTTGGACCAGTGTGAGTCAGAGTGGAAGAAGGACCCCCACCAGGTCCCAACCACCCCAGTGGGCACCTGAATTCAGGCAGATGAGGAGGGAGCTGCCCCAGCAGCCCCTCCTGTCCTATGGGCCCCCGCCATATACACACAAGCACACACAAGCATGCATGTGCCTGGAGCAAGGGCGGGGTGAGGCATACTCTCCCAAAGTGACACATTTTCAATGTTTCAGAAAAGTTACCTGTTGACAGTTAAGGCTGTAAGGCAGGGAAATTGGAGAAAACACTTAAGATTCACCAAGGACATCAGTGACTGGATGCTGAGATACACATGGAAAATCCAGAAAGAAGTTCTCCCTTTTTAGAAAATGTTTTATTGAAGTATAATTGATTTACAATGTTGTATTAATTTCTACTGCACAGCAAAGTAATTCAGTTCTAGATACATGTACATTCTTTTTCATATTCTTTCCATGATGGTTTGTCACAGAATATAGTTCCCTGTACTATACATGCATGCTAAGTCACTTCAGTCGTGTCTGATTCTTTGCAACCCTATGAACTGTAGACTGCCAGGCTCCTCTGTCCATGAGAGTCTCCAGGCAAGAATATTGGAGTGGGTTGCCATTTCCTTCTCCAAGGGATCTTCCCAACTCAGGGATCAAAACCAAGTCTCCTGTCTCCTGCATTGGCAGGTGAGTCCTTTACTCCTAGTGCCATCTGGGAAGCCCATCTGCACTAGTCAGTAGGGCCTTGTTTATCCATTCTGTATGTAACAGTTTGCATCTGCTAATTCCAGACTCAGAAGAAAGTTCTTGAGCCTCCACCAGTCAGTGCTTAGGATGCCATCCTTGGGCCTAGCACATGTGTCACTGAAGTCTCAGGCCTCCTGTGAGGTTAGTGAGCCATCATTATACCCATTGCACAGATGAGTTAACTGAGGCCCAGGAAACTTAAGTAGCTGGTGCATGTGACCCAGCTGTAAGTAGTGGAAGCAAGAGTTAAGCCCAGCCTAGTGGGACTGTCGCACTGGTTGAGGCCCATGATTGGTCACGGCTGGCTTAGGGCCACCCAGACACCCCGACTCACAGGGGCCTTGTCATAATTCATCCTTACAGAGTATTACAGGACTTAGTCTGGAGGAGGAGATGGCAGTGAAAACAGATCATCTCCGCAGTTGGGATATCGTGGGAAGGACAATATCCTTCCTCTGAGGAAGCACACAAGGGGCAGCCCTCCGGACTTAGACCCTTGACCATAATGATCTGTTCCTCCCACCTCACCCTCTGCCCTGGGAGCTCCTCAAGGCAGGGGGCAGGTGGAGGCTCTGAGTTTTATTGCCTTCTATATCTCCAGGGCCTGGCACAGGGCCCAGCACATAGTAGGTGCTCAGGTAATACGTGTTGCTGCCAGCTTGTAACTCGGGTCTGTTGGTCTTTTTATGGGACTGCAGAGATAGAAATAAAAGATTGTGTTATTCTGACACAATGCATGTTCACAGACACACTCCTTCCCATAGCCAGACACATGCCCCATCACACACACACATACCCCTTGACACTCTACAACTCAAGTCCAGGCATTCAGTGACATACAGACTCCCCCACACCTCCCCCATGGCTGTCTAAATTCCTAGGCAGACCCACAGCTGCTCCCGGACCTGCATGTTCACACAGGTAGGCAAGAGGAGCATTCTTAGACATCCACGTGCAGCTACCTGTCTCCATGAGCCAGCCCAAGGCAGCCACAGCTTAGGGATGCAGTTCTCCTGCCCCCCCTCCCCTGCCCCGCCCTGCACACACACGCACACATGCACACACACTGTGGCGATCACAAATGAGTGATACAAACGACTTGCAGAGGCTGTATCCAATCCAGCTCCACATCTCTTCATCCTCCCCCCCAAACCTGCCCCCAGACCAGGCCACCCTGCCTGAAGCAAATCCCCAGGACTCATTCACCCTTGTCTGGCCCCAGGTCCCTAGGGTTCCCAAGTCAAGCCCAGGGCCCCAGGCAGAGGCCAGCACTCACACAATCCTCTGAGTTCACCATCTGGCTGTGAGCAAGTGGAAATGAGGAATTCCAGGCTGGCTATCTCCCTCTGATCACCCTCAGGGCTGCACTGGAAATGGACTCGACCCAACAGGAAGTGGGGCAGGTGACGCCCGGGGGCTCCAAGGGAAGGCACCTGTGCCCAGGTGGAGCCCAAGGCATGAGGCATGACTGCTCAGGAGAGCTGGCCCCAGGGAGGACCCAACAGGACTGGTGTGGGAGTGCTCCCTTGTCCCTCTGCCTGGGCTCCCGCACTCCCCGTGACCCAGCCTTCTTGGCTATGGTCTCACTGTAAATAGTTCTGTTCTGACCACTCCCATCCGTCCTATCCATGCTCTTCCGAACTGGCCTTAACTCTCATTTTCTCTCTGATTTGGCTCCAGGGTGTCGTAAGTTATCACATTGGGCATCACTGTCCCCACTCCACAGGAAGGACACTGAAGTTTAGACAGGTAGGTAATTTCCTCAACATCATGGAATTCACTGGTACTTGGTGGCATATACTTGACCTTTTCAGAGCGTCAGGCCGAACTAGGACTGAAACTAACTGGGGACAGTGGGTCACAGAATCTCACACGGGGGGACTTATAGCTATGCGTGAAAACAAGAGAAAAGATGGGAGAGAAACATATCAAAATATGTATTAAAAAGTGAGTGCTTTGCAGGCTTCTCTGGTGGCTCAGTGGTAAAGAATTCGCCTGCCAATGCAGGAAATGTGGGTTCAATACTTGGTCCAAGAAGAGCCCACGTGCCGTGGAACAACTAAGTCTGTGCACCGCAACTGCTGAGCCTATGCTCTAGAGTCCAGGGACCTCAACTACTGAGTCCACGTGCCACAACTACTGAGGCCTGTGTGCCCTAAAACCCAGCTCCACAACAAGAGAAGCCACCACGTTGAGAAGGCTGCTGCAACTAGACAGTAGCCCCCACTGGCAGCAACGAGAGAAAAGCCCGTGCAGCAGTGAAGACCCAGCACAGTCAAAAAGAAGAAGTGGGTGCCTTGGACCATTCCATCCAAAATAAAGGTCATGATTATTATTTTAAAAAGTGAGTGCTTTGGAGGTTGTGAGGGTGTGTTAAAAATGTTTTTATCTTCTTTGCATCTTCTAATTTAACATTTATAATGAAAAAATTTTTTTCTTCAAAGGGAGAGGCAACAAGGACACAAGAAAAAATCTCTAATAGTAAAACTTTAAGCCTTGGCAGGAAAGATATTTGGGAAAGAATGAGGGATGTATTCCTGGACATCTCCTATGTCATCCATCCACCTATAGGAAGGACTCAGGTCCTCTATGGGGAGCTCCCCCTATAGCTGGCAGGGCACACCCATCCATGACAATTCCAGTTCGAAACCGTCTTGTCTCTGTTCCTCCCTCCCTTTCTTGCCTTC